AAGTATTATGCAAATCGATAGGGATCATCTTCATAATGACATTGACACACAAAATAAAAAGAATCTAAGAATGTAAAGAATTATAGCTTGTAGAGTGAGCACAAGTTGCACAATATAGCTAATAGAGTAAAATTTCAAGTCAGACAGGATATTTTGGTGAAAAATTATCCGATCATCACGAAAATCGATAGGGATCATCTTCATAATGACATTGACACACAAAATCAAAATCAAAAGAATCTGTAAAAAAGTGTAGCTTGTAGAGTGAGCACAAGTTGCACAATATAGCTAATAGAGTAAAACGTCAAGTCAGACAGGATATTTTGGTGAAAAATTATCCGATCATCACGAAAATCGATAGGGATCATCTTCATAATGACATTGACACACAAAATCAAAATCAAAAGAATCTGTAAAAAAGTGTAGCTTGTAGAGTGAGCACGAATTGCACAATATAGCTAATAGAGTAAACGTCAAGTCAGACAGGATATTTTGGTGAAAAATTATCCGATCATCACGAAAATCAATAGGGATCATCTTCATAATAACATTGGCACACAAAATAAAAATCAAAAGAATCTGTAAAGAACTGTAGCCTGTAGAGTGAGCACGAGTTGCACAATATAGCTAATAGAGTAAAACGTCAAGTCAGACACGATATTTCGGTGCAAAATTATCCGATCATCACGAAAATCGATAGGGATCATCTTCATAATGACATTGACACACAAAATAAAAATCAAAAGAATCCGTATAGAATTGTAGCCTGTAGAGTGAGCACGAGCCAAATGTGAACGGACGGACCGACAGGGTGATTACAATATACGCCCATCTTTCGAGTGGGCGTATAAAAAATATATAGACTCTTAAATTCAACAGGTTTAAAGGGACAGATGCAGCATTTTTGATTGTTGATTTGGGCCTTGAATATGTATAAATAGTTTTCAGATCTAATACAAATGTACAAAAATCGCACAACTTCATCCTTCAAAAAATTTAACTTTCTATTTATTTTGTTCACAAGCTTATCTTCTTTCTTAAAAATTGGGGTGCCCGAAAGTTTAACGTCTTGCTGATATAGTCTCTAACAACTAGACATCTTCCGTTGCAGCTGTGCATGGCACATGATGATTGAGTCTACTGTATACACTGTGTGATGCATCAAAATATTAAAAATAAAAAGTCTCATAAAATGACAACTATTTTTTAGTGAACTTTGCCGGTGTTTTACGTTGGTTATAGGTGTTATAGAAGATACTCTCCTATAGAAGCACTGGCCTAGGTCACAAGTACAGACTATGGATTTCAACATGAAAACTATTTCAATTCAAAGAAGAATATGTTTTACTGAAGATTATTCATAGATTATTACTTCTAGAGTTTTAATAAACTTCTTCACATGTTTCCAATGTTAAATCTGAATATTTGTACTTTAAACTTGATGAAATTGGTGATACACAACATCTACTTTTTCAGGTTTATGTGGTTCATTCTAAAGGTGTACATGCGTATAAACAAGTTTGCAAACTTTATGCTGATATTAATAGAAATTTTATTGTCTAAAAGGTGATTCACTATGGACAACAGTGACATTGTTTATATGATTGATGTGTAACTTAGATTGTGTCACTCTTTATTTCTATGACCTTAACAGACATTTTATATGTGACAACAGCATAAGATGAGCTCTTGTCAATGAGTAGAATATTCTCACTGTAGAGTGCTTACTTCAGATTAGCGAGTTCTTTGTATACTATACCTGTAGTTCAGGTTATGCTGAACATGGCTCCCATAAGATAAAAAAAGTTTACTTTGATTAACCTGTAACATGCATACATTGTGCCACTGGTCTCGAATGGTCCAACATCAAACATAATAGACCACGAGTGCCCAAATTTACACTAAAAATTATCCTCACACAATGAGTTACTATTCGAGCGTAATTATCCCTGTGTCATTTGCTCTCTTTGTCAGTCCTAGCATTAAAATACAAGTATTATGTCAGGAAATTTAAAAAAACATTTATTTATGCTGTGTCAGCACCAGCCTCCCAAAACTGGGAAAACCACTGACTGACTGAGGTTGAATTCAATCTTCAAATCTGTGAAGGGCATAGGCACATTGCTCCCATGTCTGAGAGAGTTCTCCCTCAAGTGCCTCTAATAATAAAAGCAGGACAAAATTCTTGCTGAAATCTCCATATTTAAAAGTTGAATTTCTTACCTGTAATTATGGTGACAGGTTGATAAATCAGTCCACCTTGCTTCCTACTAGTCCAACATCACATTATCAAATAATAATGCACAAGTTATTTCCTTCATTAATCCTTGCTGTCACTCAACCAGGTAACCACACCTCTAAACCAGTAAATCACACCTCTTAACCAATCGTATTTCATCCCAAGTGTCATACACTGTCTATTTAAAGTATAAAGCTAATTGCTTGTAATCAAATTCTCAAGTAATTAAGATACATTAAATCTTAATGATCAAGTTTAAGATTTCAACCTGTAATAAACAAAACAACTATTTAGAAATATACTTTATTAGGGTTCCATAGCAAGCCATATTCATTAAGGATTTTGGCCTTGTTTTTCAGTTTACTAATGAACAGTATTCATAATGTAGGCCTTTTCATAATTAGATAAAAACAATCGAAATGACCCTTTTTCACGAACCTAAAGGGACAAGCTTGCCATCCGTTTGACCAATCATACCTTAGTCTCAGAAACAGAATTTTTTTAGCTAATCAATAAGAGTGTTTACAGCTCATTTTCAAATCTAAAAATCAGCTTTACTCAGCCTATTATAGAGACCCTTAATTCAATCTCCTTTAACTACTTTCAACTTACAACACTTTCCAAACTAAAAAATTTAATTGAAATTGTTTATAATTAAATAAATTTGCTTTGAGCTAAGGAAGTAATGAAAGATAATATGGTTCCGATTACAATTTCAGAAATCAATTTCAAATTTTACTTTGCTAAACATATGGTCTAAGATATGTGGGAGTAAAAGTGTTATAAGATATAATCTCCTATAGAAGCACTGGCCTAGGTCACAAGTAGGTATCAAACTCAAAAGTAGTCATGTCCTTTGGTGGCTTGCAGCAAATATTGCCAAGCAATGCACGAGGAATTTTTCAATTGGAGCTCAAGTAGGACCTACTCAACCTCGTGACTTGGACTCAACTTGGTGAATAAATTCTACAGCAATCCAAATTTCAAAGTAACATTACATCTTTGATAAATTCTTATAAATCTGCAACTGGATTCAGAAAAACTTTTATTTTGCAAACGTCCATATTTTGCCCTCAAACTTATAAATATAAAAAACAGTTCATGTTCATTAATTCGATCAACTTCATGTCAATAAGGCGTTTTTTTAGGTATACATCCCTTTGTATACACTTACTGGCCTCTATTTGCTAGAAAACTAAGATGGATAAATGATATTTTTATGTGTTTTTTATGATATAATGAGACAGGAAGTTAAAGTATAACCCTCAGGAAAGGTCTTATTGTATTTAAATTATATTAAATATATCTCATTAAATATAGTGATTAAAAGTATTTAAATTGTACTCAGTGCAGTTGAGGTTTTTACCACAAAAATGAGCCAAACACTTCATAGATGTATTGCAACAATCAGAAAAATATACAGTCAGTTGTGGATCTTATGATAATGTTCCATTCAATTTCAAACTGTAGTCACTTTGCCCTCACAAGCCAGTTTTGACAATGGTCAAGAGCAATAACTCAAAAACAATTCATTGAAAAGTTTTGGAAATTGAACTCAGTTGAAATCCTAACACGCAGCGAAAAACATTTATTATAGTACCATTTCAATTTAATCTTTATTACTCAAATTGATAATTGATGTAAAAGAAGTATGCTCTCTTCTTGTGACCTTGGCCAGTGCTTCTATAGGAGAGTATCTTCTATAACACCCAACATAGTCATACACCTATGCATCAGACCATACATTTTAGAAAGTTTTTAGCACTGTCTTGTTTAGAAATTAAGATATATAACAAAAATATGGAACATCTAGATCCATTCTATTGAAATACTCCCATCATTTTTGGACTTGTAGCCTATATGTATCATATTTCTGAATTTCATAGAGCTGCCATGCTTAGAAATGGAGATGTATCGAACATATTAAAAAGTACAATATGGCGTAGGCCTACCGTTGCCATGCCGTACACGAAATATTTCAAAATGTGACCTTCTCTCTGACTACAATGTTTTCTGAATTGAATTTTGGCAATCATTTCTGAATGAATTGAAATATCAATTACAAAATACTACCGGTACTGAGAGTCTTGGATTGTCTTTGGGTTGGTGGCAATGCCGACCACTCAAAAAGCTATTGTAAGCATGATCTTAAATTTACAGGAGGAGTTTTCCATCAGAAAAGTGGTGAATTTGCAGGAAGGGAAGTGTGTCTATTTCAAATGTAAATTCACTGAACCACATATTTCTATTGACCCAAAGACATTCAAAGACAAACTGTAGGCCTACACAGTTGAGAATTTTGAATATTTATGAAATGAAAAAAGAATTTCAGTTCAACCCTAAACTGATTAAAACTTCTGAAAGTTGAAGACGATATAATTTTCATAATACTATTGTCGACCTTTCACCTCGTGTGTCAATATTAATTATCTGATTCAAGTTTTCAGATAAGCTTTAACAATCGTAATATGTGAACTTTCTATCTAGCACCTGCAAGTTCAAGGTCAGTTAATTCAGACCAAATATTGAAGGTATTCATGTTTTGTTTTTAATAACTATATCAGCAGTAAAACTACAAAAGTTTCTTCTACATTCATTTCTTTTATAAGAAAATACAAGATAATAACAATTGTAAAATACCAGAACCAGACATTAAAACCATGTTTCATGTAGGCTGAAATATGTTCATTCCTACTTCACCCCTTAGTGACAATGGTTAAGTCCTGTGGTGTTCCGCAATGCATAATTATTTGGGAAATACGAAGTCAACTGTAAATATAGAAATGTTGCTTTTTTCCGCGAAAAAAGATTAGCTACTTTCATTATACATCGTACATGACTGGATGGTTATTCTTTATAAAGTGAGGGTTTCGATTTTTTACAAGGACTGTAGCCGCATATTTCAAACCAAGATCTACATTAACTTAGCCTGCTTCGCACTAGTAGCTTACAGTAACTGAACTTCACTCAGTCTTCAGCATTCCGAATAGATTGGTATTTTGATTTGATTTCATTGTTTTTTCCTAGTTAACTTCCGTGTCTGAATTGAATTTTGTCAGTTATAAAAGGCGGAATAGTCTAGCGGGATTATTTTGTAATATGCAAATATCTTAAAATGATTGAGCTGGGCATGGCTTGGTTTAGAACTCCTATGAACTTATTTCACAAGAGAAAAGTAAAATACTAGGCTACAAAATTTATCTAGAGGTCACCTTAAAAAATGAAATGAGATGAAATTAAGTGTATCCCTAGTCAGAATTAAAACACAAAAGTGACTATTATTGACTATTTTGTGACTTATTTTATTGTCTGAGCAAATCAGAATTTTTTCAATTTTTTTTAAGAGAATTGGAATGTCTTTGGTTGTAAGTTTACATTGAAAATAAACACATTTCTCTCCTAGAAATTTCAACTCAAAAAAGTCACAAATTTTGGCTGAAAATTGACTTCTGAAAAAACAAATTTGAAGACATTATGATTGTGTTCTCTTGCTTATATTTTTATCAAAGATATTCTAAGATTGACAGTACTAGTTTGAGGCTGCTTTTCTTATTCTCATAAAAATGATGGGAAAAATTATTCCAATATTTCTTTTTTTTTCAGTAGTATTATTAGACTAAGGGAGATGAGTGAGTTATTTCTACAGAAGGATGTGGCTAAATTGCTACACAATAAGTTTGTGGTGATAATGGGAAGTTCGGGTATGTAAGCATTATATATATTGTCATTTGAAAACAGAGCTATATTTCAACCATCTATATCTCTCTTTGTCAGAATTCTGAATAGTCTCAGGTGTGTGAAGTGCAGGAGAATCAAACAACAGATTTTAGTTCTGATAAGTACTACAGATAGCTGAATTTGATCCCTGTCACCGTGTCCAAACCATTCGTCATGTACTTCCTCGAATAAGACCATGTCAAAACCAGTATTCGTGATACGATGGATCCCTACCAGCTCGTTATGCTGGGTATACATTATGTCAATATCCCCATTATTGTCTGTAGAATATTGCCAGTTTTCTATTTGGTGACTGAAGTGATCTTGATATTAAAAATTGTTTCTCAGAATATCCTGTTATTATCAGTAGGCCTATATGTTATAAATCACAATTTTAAATATAATGTTAATAACATATATTTATAAAATAACTATATTTGATTGGCCTATCTGTTACCAGATATATTTTTTGGGTTAATTATTCAAGCATTAACGGAACCCAGTATTACTGATGATAAATTGTTATATTGCAGTACAAAGAAGTATGTATAAAGATCTAGTTAAGATGTTAAAGAAAGATATGTATTTGACAGATCATGAGCTCAGAGCAAAGGTTAGTGATTTTCATAAGAGTGTTTTGAACCAAGATAGATTAGGATCAATAAATCTTGTGTTGGGTGTTATAGAAGATACATTCCTATAGAAGCACTGGCCAAGGTCATAAGAAGAGAGCATACTTCTTTTACATCAATTATCGATTTGAGAAATAAAGATTAAATTGAAATGGTATTCTTGTGTTTTGCATGTAAAAGTAGTTCCTTCTTTACACAAGGCCTCTTATTGATTTTGTGTTCTTAGAAGGTACAGATAAAATGTGGTCCTTGAAATACCCTACATAATTAAACCAAAAAATTGACCTTGTCTCCTGGATATTCCATGGTGCTTGCAAGTAATTTCCAACTTCGAATTGAATTAAGGGATAGCGATTATATATTTGGTAAATCTTTCATTTAATTTTGGCTTAATCCTATGTGTATTTTTTGGGAAAGTCAAAATTACTTTTACATATTTTCCCCAATTTCAAAAAATTTTTAATGGTTAATGTATTTTATTAATTGATGTGACTCTTTATTATGTTTTGACTTTATTCAATGTGATAATTTTTCAGGGAGAATCAAAGTTTGAAGATGATCGTCTAATTGAGGGAGGAATACTGTCTAACAATGTATCATATCGTGAAGTGAGAGAATACAAAACAGACTATCATCTGATACGATTTTATTTTATTACCAGAACCTATAATAACTATGTAGAATCAGTGTTAAAGACATTTAGATCAGAGCCTGAACCAGATGTACTTTTATTGAATTCCTGTTTATGGGACATTACAAGGTGAACTATTCGTTCTTTCTCCTTTCACTTAGTCTAATAAATCCCATCTCATTTTAATGCAGATCTAAATGTTTGGCTATTTCAGGGTTTTTTTTCTGAGGGTTATTAGATGCTCAATTGAATGAAATTTTTCTTTTTGGACCAATATGAAAAGCAGCTTAGCTTAGCTCAGCAAGTAAACTTTGTATTAATTAGTTGAATAGCACTCTATGTAGTGTACATTACCTAAATAATGTGACTTAAATGTAGGATGTAAAACATTTTACTTGTATAGCCAACACTTTCTTTATTTCTTTGCTTGATCTAGCAACCTCTGATGCTAAAGCTTTTTATCTTCAGGTATGGATTAGGACCAGAATCAGTTGAGGGGTATAGACAAAATTTACATAAACTCATGAAGAAATTGAAGACTGTTTTAGATCCCAACTGTCTGGTTTTGTGGAATTCCACACTTCCAGTGGATAAGGAAGCCAAAGGTGGTGTATTTGTGCCTGAAGTTGAAAGTGCTAAGACTCAATTAGGTGCCAAAATCCTTGCATGCAATTTAATCGCTCATAATATAATCAAACAATATGACTATGACTATATAGATCTTCATTATTACTTGCGATATCACTTACACAGACGTGCCGAGGATGGTGTGCATTGGGATATGACAGCTCACAGACGTATGTCAAATCTTACTTTGTTTCAAATTGCTGAAGCCTGGGGTTTGAAAAAGTCTGAACCTATCCCTTCACCAACTGAAACGCCTCATGGTGAAAAAGCTGATGAAGGTGCTACTACATCCAGTATAGCTTCTGACTCTGTTATATATGTTGCATGTTCTCCAGTTGTATCTACTAGTCTAGTTAAGGCATTTAGTCCTAGCACTTTAACCAAAGCATTGCATACTGTTGCAAAAACTTCATCTACTACATCTACTAAGGTTACTAATGATAGACCTGTTGTTGCAGCAAATACAAGTAGAACAGCTGCTAAATCTGCTGCCATCACCTCAACAACGACTTCAGTTGCTCAACCCATTACAAAACCATCATCGGCTAAGTCTTCCATTGGACCAATCAAAACAAAGAAAAAGAATAGGCGTAAGAAGCAAAATAAAGTTCTGAATAACCAAGAAAATGCTAATGTCTCCTCAGGCAAGAACAATGTCCTCACCCATACAACAGACCACCTGGTTTGAAACCACAAACAAATATCAATCAAACAGGTCCTCAAAAACCTCCACGCAATGGTCCAGCCAATCAGGAGAGATTTCTGTTCAATGGTCCAGCCAATCAGCAAAGACCTCCATTCAATGGTCCGTCAAATCAGCAGAGACTTCCGTTCAATGGTCAAGCCAATCAGCAAAGACCTTCATTCAATGATCCAGCCAATCAGCAATACCATCAAGGACCATCATTCCATAGAGAACAATTATTTCATGAGGCTCATCAAAATGAACATCATCATCATGAGGAGCATCATGATGAACATTATAACCAAGGAAATGCTCATAACTATGGAGAACAAGGCCACTATGATCATTACAACATTCAGCACATTGAACGTGATTTAAACCAAATGAACAATGCTCTCTATAATGACTATAATGTTTATTTTGGAAATTATGACTTCACAAAAGATGTAGACGTGAATGAGGGGAATTATCAATCAAACGTTCAATATCAACATCAAGGGTATGAGCGGCATGAATATCTCCAAACTGATGGTGGATTCAATAGTTATACCAACCATGGTATTGCATCACATCGCTTTAAGCCTTATAGTCGCTATCAGGCTAATAGAGAACTGTACGGTGGATCAAGATATCAGCATTAATTAGACCCAGAGAACTGTACGATGGATCAAGATATCAGCATTGATTAGACCCTCAACTCAATTAAAGAATGTCTGCACCTTTAGGGATTCAAAATATGTCAATCAGGGATGTTTTATTTCTTCTATTCTGATTTCCTGGTTCCATAAAATCTTGATCAGGTTTTGAATTCACTTCTGCAGTGTTGCTCAAGTTGAATAGTTTTTGTTTTAAACCATTTTGATGGCATCTATTCGAGTTTTTCTGGAAGTAAAAGAGCCATGTAAAACATATTAAAAGGAAGCACCACATGGGGATTGTGCCACTAATATTAAAAAATTTAAACACACCGAAAAGGAGAAAATCCATTTTTGAATCTTATTTAAACCTTAAAGATATAACAACCCAATTTGCCAAGCTTTACACACTGGTATGCGTATAAGGCTACATTTTGTGGGGCAGGACTTTGCCATCCTTCTTGATAACATTTACCACATGTTGCAACCTGTTTTTCTATTCATGCCACATATTATCTGTTGTGTATTTTATGTTATTTCCATGTCAGAATTGATAATACAAGTTTAAGGTTTGATTGACTTTATAGACTATCTAGAACCATCTATGTTTGAAAAATTTCATCTCCAAGGACAATATGAATCTTTGGTACAAGGGAGACAATTCCAATATAGCGCATTGTCATTGATGTAATTTGAATAAAGCCCATTTGTATTGTTTTTTCTCTATTATTTGCAATATTAAAATTGTAATTCTTCAGTTCAAAGAAAGGTACATGTATTCTCAGAGAAACTCTTCTATTGAGGCACTGGCTCCTTAGTATAATAAAACATGCTAGCCAATGTAAGTGCTGAAAATGATATAGTTTGTGTAATAATTTCTCTTTGCACATAAAGCTTGTTATCTGATAAGTCTACAGCTTTCAGTCCCACTTAACTGTGTAAATATGTTAATTTTTGTGATATTTTTTCAAGCATAATATAGTAATTGAAATATGTTTTAAGTACCAAATAGTGCTGTCAAAGTTATTTCTATGTTTCATGTTTATAACATTTATCAAAATCATGTATAAATTGATTGCAATGTTAAATATTGATTTTATAAAAGTTTAATGAAAATCAAATGAGAATTTGAAATTTAAGTTTATTTTTTCAGTTAATATCTATGCACATTAAAGAAGACTAATAACCATAAAATATAAATGATTCTCTTTTAACAGGGTTCAAGAAAAGTTCTTTGAACCTGTTACATTGTAAATCACTGAATATTGTATTTAAGATGCAAAAGTGTTGCAAATTCTGAACTTTATCATTCCACCTCCCTGCAATATCTTTCTACACTAGTGAAACTATATTAAGGGGAAACAATCCCATATGATAGAAATGAGCATACCTTGCCCAATTATGCATATCTGGGTGTTTTTCTACAATATCGTGATAATTAATCGTAATTTATGCCAAACAACATCCCATATCAAAGGTAAAACCCTACCCTTCGCAACCTCCCATATAAAAGGTAAAACCCTTGTCCCAACCAACAAAGGTAAAACTCTACTTCTCTCAACATCCCATATCAAAGGTAAAACTCTAACCTATCATCAAAGATAAAACCATAACCGTATCCAAATTTAAAGATAAAACCATACTTACCGCAACATCCCATATCAAAGGCAAAACCCTACTTGTCTCAACATCCCATATCAAAGGTAAAACTCGACATTCCATATCGAATCGACATCCCATATCAAAGGTAAAACCCTACCTCTCTCGACATCCCATATCAAAGGGAAAACCGTATCTCTCTCTCTACATCCCATATCAAAGTTAAAAACCCTACCCTCTCTTAACATCCCATATCAAAGGTAAAAACCCTACCTCTCTCTCAACATCTCATATCAAATGTAAAACCGTACCTTCCTCAACATCTCATATCAAAGGTAAAACGCTACCTCTGTCAACATACCATATCAAAAGGTAAAACCCTACCTCTCTCAACATCTCATATCAAATGTAAAACCGTACCTTCCTCAACATCTCATATCAAAGGTAAAACTCTACCTCTCACAACATACCATATAAAGGGTAAAACTCTACCTATCACGACATACCATATCAAAGGTAAAATCCTACCTCTCAACATTTCATATCAAAGGTAAAACGCTTAAAGGAGGTATGCTTTTACCTGTAATATGGAATGTTGTAAATGCATAAATTATGAGTTTTATCACGATATTGTACGAAAAACAACAAAGCACCCAAATCTGCATTTTAAACAAAATGTATTACTTGAGCAAGGTAACTCTCTCTTTACACATCACATCTATGATAAAACCCTTCATCTCTGAACATTCATATCAAAGGTAAAACTCTATATCTCTTAAAGGAACAGACGCGCCATTTTGGGGTCGGGGTGAGGGGGTTGATTTTAGTCTCGAATATATGTAAATAGTGTTCAGAAGTAATTTAATTCATTTTCCTATTTCTATAGATGTCTTGTCTATGTATGGCAGAGTCTCAATTGAAGACGACTCGTCTGTTTAACTTTCTGTACACACATGGACTAAAATATCAGTGGCAAATAAATGACCCTTAACATCCCATATCAAAGGTATACACATATCCTCTCTCAACATCCCATATAAGAGAAAACCCTACATCGCTTAACTACCCATATCAAAGGGAAAAAAACCCTGCCATTCTCATTAGCCCAGGTGAGGATTGAATCTGATCAATATTTTGGACAAGCGCTATCCAAATCTGTAAATTATCACTTTGTCAATAGGTTCATAATTATAGATGAAAGATAATGAACATGTGACCATATCAGTTATGACTTTTGATTTATCACAATGTTGGGTCTACTGTACTTGTTTGTAAATATATATGCAATTCAGGTAGTCTCGGGGCAGTTGTCAGGATGTCCGTTATATGGATGTACCCCCAGTGGATCTTTCTCTCTCAATAAAGTGGTGATATCCCCGGATATCAAGGTAGCTTGGACAGCTCAAATTGACAATTCATCTCATACCTCTAATATAGACAATGGTTGTGTCAGTAACGGAAATAATCTAGTTTGCCCTACATCAAAGTAAGTTATCTAAGTTATTTAGGCCTATATACTTACTTTTGGATGCAGGAGGTTGGGAGATCGGGGACTTAAAACCCGGTTAAACGGTCCGCCCCATAAATGAAATGGAGGACACGAGGATCATATCAGGTTAGATGGACCAAGGGAGAACGATGAGGAACAGTCTAAGAAGGTGCAAGATAAGGAGTAAGGCCAAGGCTGATTTAAAGAGACGTAGTCGTCTAGTTTGAATATTTTCCTTTTCTAAAAGCCATAGCTAAATTTCAGTCTGCAACTTTTCGGAATTTTAAAATTTCGAAATCTTACGTCAGGTTGCAATTCAATAAAAATGTAATATATGCCTGTAAGGCTGGATGTTGAAATAGACTGGGCAAATGGGGCTCATTGGTAAAATATATTTTATACTTGACAAGTTCGACATTAGCCTATATTGGTTAGCCAGTCAATACCTCAATTTAAATAAATAATTGTTTTTGAAAAACTGATATTAATAATTTTATTTTCAGTGGCTATGTAAGTTTAGATCCAACAAATGGGAAGGAATTATGGAGAACGAAGAACTTGCTCCGCCCCACTCTACCGATATTAGATATTTACGGTGATGTGATTGGTTGTGATGGGCCGAGCTTAGTGAAGATTGACAGCGATGGAAGACTTGAACCAATCATACACTTGGATCTGCCTTTAGACTCAATTTACAGGTAACCTACCTAGCCTCTATCATCCAGTACAATTTTGTTTGCACACAGCTCACTCTACTCGTATCAACTTCAGGACTGACGAACATTGGTAAAGGTGGAGCCGAATGCACACAGCTGCGACAAAGACGGAAGATGTCTGGTTGTCAGAGACTAGATACAACTTTTTCTAGTTTTCCGGCATGTCCCTTTCCTTATCAATTCATTCTTTCAGTGCTATAATCCCATGAATCAGAGAAAACACTTAGAAAACAAAATACTAAGAATTTCGATGATTTCGTAATGAGGTTTCAATAAATAGCTGCAATAATATAAATAATCTCATTGGCTAAAGATTAGGGTTCCTTCAATATTTGTATATTGGTATAAAGGGTAAATCCGATATCAGACCAAGAGGAGGATCCGAACCCACGGCACCTTACCGCCTAGCAGACAACAATCCAACTATATGAGCATGATCCATAAATACCTGCTTTAATACACACAACATATCTTTTCATGGCTACTTACAGTTTAAACTTAATGACCGAGTCGAATGCTTTAGTTATAGTATCAAGAAGTGGAATGGTTGTAGCATATCTAACCAGTAAGTTATACTATTATTTTCAGCTGATTTCTAATTATTCGTGTGCCAATTTTTATTGTCAACTGAGTACGAATATGTGAAAATAATGGTAGCAAAGTTATATGTAGTCAATCTTTTTCATATCGATCTTGATGCAGATCACAATTCCACCCATTTTTCGCGCAATTTTTCAGTAAAGTTCATATGATTGGTTTACCGTTAGCGATATTATATTGCCATATCCAGATATGATGAGGGCTCCAGTGGTATAGAAAAATTGATCGTAAGAATTGTGGGGAAACTCCAGAAACATGAAGGGTGATTGTCGAAAACAAAAATTTGTTTGACATAATATTACTGTAGAAATCACACACAAGTTTGTTATGCTAACTGGTTGTCAACAACTTGTTCCAGTAAATTACATTGATATATTTACAACACACGTCACACGACATGGGATCAACTTGTTGATTTTGAGATTACAACAGGTGTGGGGTGGTCTTTAAAAAAAACTCTACTGCCATAAACGCACCCCATCAAGGGACGCTTGGACTATAGATTAGGTGGTTATGGAAGGTGTGGATCGCTAAATTTACACATTTCGAATCTCCTTTCTTTTAACCTGCGGTTGAATCCCGGCATAGGTCGAGCTAATACCTTTAGATTTTTCAACCCGGTTCCCCGTCAGTGATGCAGGTAAGAGGGGCTGACATGGAAAAAGCGTCTAGTCGTTCGGATGGGACAATAACCCGAGGCCCCGTGTGCTACAGGCTGTACACGTTAAAGATCCCTCGACAGTTGGAAATCGAAAAAGAGCAGGCTAATGCCGCTGTCCTATCAAAATTTCCCTCATGGCATCCTGCATGGCGTTGCCTGCCTTCATTAGCCCACAGGGTGCAGAAAAGTAAGACGTAAAAAACCATTCATTTCATTTTAACCTGCTTTTACCAGAATCATGAATCTTCTCATGTAGACAGTCAGCGATTTGATTGGATTGTACGCAAGCGAATACAGTCTTTCTGTCAAGGGCTCAATTTGGCTCTATTCGCTATAGCGTACCATCGAATCAAATAACCTCATTCACAAACATTCGTGAGAAACAAGTAAGTAGGCCTTTGCAGTCAAGGTATAGGACGAAGACTTAATAGTATGACCAAGATAATAAAGGCTATGTATAAAATGTCTCCTTTACAGATGGAGTTCCCTTAGCATCATTGCAGTTGAACGGTACATCAGATGGTCAGAAAGGTACGTTTCACCCGATTGCATCTCCTGTGATATCGGGACAAAGAGTGTACGTTTTAACAGAATTTAGTCCAGCATCAACAAATGGACGGAAAAAAGTATGTTGGTCGTTTATTAATTACAATACAGAAATTGCACAAGACGTTTCATGAGACCGGATATTGATTGGATGTTTGCTTCCGTTTCATCTAGGAATTGCAGATCCGCTTGGAAATTCTACACTAACATTTTAAACTCTGTTCAGACGTGATAATCTCTGTATGAAAACACTAAGTTCATCGATGGGGTTGGTCTCTACAAAAAATTACATGAAGCGACCAGCGCGAAAAAAAGCTCGTATTATATTTAAAGGGACAGATGCGCCATCTTTTTGACCAATCATATTGATATATTTTAGCTAAGCCAATCAATAATAGTTCGCAACTCACCATCGAAATTTGAGCCTTTAAATCCATGTGTGTCTAGAATTATCCTCGCTTGAAATTTTAAAAGAGACACTGCCATATATAAAAAAACTGAGCAATAGGAAAAGAATTTCCGAGTTTGAGATATTTTTTCTAGTACTTCTGAAAACAATTTACATATTATATTCATGACTGAAATCAACCGCGCAAAATGGTGCGTATCTTTCCCTTTAAATGAAGCTTCTCGCTTTAAGCACAGAAATAGGTCAATGTGCGTGCATGTTATTTGATACTCTGATTTTTGTCATAATTTCGAAACAAACATCTTGAAATTGAGTGAGAGATAGTCTACTCTCTACTCTATTTTTCGCCTTGAACAATGTTCCCAAATACAAAAGGCAGCTATGCTCAAAAACCAAAATTTGAATACCTCTGTGCTATTATACACCTTCAGGTCGCATCGTGATTTTATTCGGTGCAATCCAGTTAAACACTCTTTATTTTACAGGACAAATTCCTAATCTGACCTAGTCTCGAATGAGAACGCGGAAATGAACATTGTTATTCATTGATTTCAGAATCTCAAGGACATTCGTCTGTATGCCTTGGATATAACTGATTCAATAACTGACCGCATCCACGCGGCATGGTTTATGGACATCCAGAAAGAACTGATTCATTTTCAAGAACCCAAAAAAACCGAAACGAATATAAATTTAAAATTGTTCATGAAATATAATAACCTTGAAAAGCACGTGTTGCGTGATGGACAATTGAACGCGACTTTTCGAATAACAAACATCAAACATGAAGCTAGTTTTTTATCAGAAAAATGTCGGACGATGTTTTCATCGGTGTTAATCGAGTCGGACATAGTTTATGTAAGTCTGTCATCAACTAGAAACTCGTATAAAGCTAGTGATAAAAGTTGTGTACCAATATTAATTGCTATCAACGATACCGTCACACAGGGTCAAATACTTTTTAAAAACCTGACCTCTATATCTCATCTGGCATCAGTACCTTTTACATCGCGCAGTCCGGGGTCACCGGGGTCAAATCTGTACGACAATCAGCTGATTTCACACAATATTATCTGGGGCAACAATGAAACTCATTTCCTAGCTTTCGATTCAAAAACAGGTCGATTGGTCCTCGAAATTGACGTTTCTCAACTTTTCAAAACTCGAGCTAATGTCACGTCTAATCTAATCGTTTCAATTTCGAACGATTCTTACACCTTAACGTTCGGTGTAGCAACAAATTTTGAAATGCCTAAATATTTTCTGACTGCAATCGCCTATGATCTGAAAATCAAAACGCACAAAGTATTGTATAAGGTTGAGTGTACAGCCGAGGTCACAGGTCAAATTATTTCTACTATAGACGGTAACGGTGTTCAGATGATGACGTCATCACCTTCAGGTTATGTAACCGCCTTCAAGAAACAGTTGTAGACAAATAATGCAGTAATAAAAGCTTCACCACATTATTCGTTTGTTTTTCTTTAGTTCGCTGGAAGTAACAAATTACGAATGTATGCTGTAGTTGTAGTAAGAAGAATGGTAAAAATAATTTCTGTGGCGTGGAGTATCGACTTCAATCACGGGCCCACCATGGAGATTGACAGTCGACAGGCATCTTTATTGGTTACTGGTGACAAGATTCTAACGAGTTTGTCATCTTCCGATTCCAGTCATTTAACCAATGGTACCACTGGCATGTTATGGTCAATTAAAGACAATGGCATGGGGGTCGAATTTGTGTACGGAATGAACTCTAATATTTCTAAAATTGCAAAGTATATGCCAAATTCAGTTCAGTCCAGACCGAAGGGGTCTGATGATCAAATGCTCTGGGGTTCGTCGGTGTCTGGGGAACACATAATTGGGGTTACATGGAAAAACGGGCATACTTTTGTCAACATTCCCCTCCAAAAATTATTCGGAGGCAATGTGGCGGTTTCAACAAATGTGATGGTAGGTGAAAATAAGAATAATGCCGTTTTGGTGTTTGGTTTACGGGATTCTGGCGACAAATCGTCAAGGGTGGTGGGAATGGAAATAGACCAATCTTCTCTGAAACCACGTATTTTGTGGAAATTAAATATTTCTGAACAAAACAGAAATTCCGTTATTTCTGGTCAAATAATAACGATCCAGTCCGTTAATTCAAATTCAACCAATATTGCTGTTGTAATACAAATCGGAAGTAGAACAGTGCTCATTAGTGCTGGGTCCATTTAGTGAATTTGGATATTGTCAGATTTCGATGTGATTAAATCTTGAATAAAATTATCCACAAAAAGATCAGTTCATTTCTTAATATTCAATTGTAAAACATTTCTTCATCCAGCCAAACTGACCTGTTTAATGAAAGGCAGAAACTGTGAGGTCGGAAACTCAACCTATTTGTCCACCGGACTATCCAACAACCACATCCAGAAGGACAAACTGACATGTTCTAACATATACAGTTCTTTTGTTAGAAAATATCAATGAAATGGACACGGAAGGGGCCCAGTGACGTATGTGGGTGGTAATCTTTGAAACATGCCCCCCTCCCCCTAACCCCAACCTTTCGGACTATGATAAACAACAATTTCATTCAATTTTCACCTCCAAAATCGCGATAGATGTATTCTCCGGCTTCGAACAATATGGCAATTCTCCCCCACCATGACAAATGCCCCTCCCACCTCCCCGGTCAATGAAATGCTTTGACTTGTTTTCACCATCAGTATTTTTGAGTGGAAATCATCCACTATCATCAATTTTGTGTAGAAAGAGATTTCTTCATTGTAAATATGAATGTTAATCGTTAGTCATAGTGTTTCAAGTTGGATAAATAGTCTGTGTACACCTCACAAAGCAAGTTTGGCAGAGATGATGAAAAAAAGAGTTTCATTTTCATTTAATTAAAACTCAATTAGATAAATAATGATAACTTTATTGCAAATAAAAGCAATATTGAAAACCATACAAAATTTAATACGAACAGCAATAAATTACATGTCATATAACAAACCTGTATATACCATACTGTAAGGCCTGATCGTAACAAAAGTTTAAAAATTAAAAATATCCAAACAGTTACTTACTATCACGCTTTTATTTTCACTTTCCATGTGATCTTATAAGTTCAGAGATAACGGATTAATTTTCAACAGTCTAAGAGTTTATCAGAAATATTACGTCAATTCTTGTTATACAGGGTAAGACATTGTTGATTTTACTGTCGCATCCTTTTACCGTTAAACTTTATTCCACAAAGTACAACAATTTGCGACAATTGAGGTCAAGATTTAAAATTTGTGAACTTATTCACCAAATCTTTGAAACACAATTTCCATAGGTGGATGGACAGGCTTCGAAAATTTCTTTTGCTTATGTATTTTGTCATAAAAATAGAATTTCTCGCATTATTGTTCCCAAGTCTGCATAATTTTCAAATGTCCACCATGAAACAAAACTTTCATCCGGTGAAACAAACTCAAAAATAAAATTTCTTCAAAGTTAATTTAGTTTTTCTAAACCATGTCATCAAAATAAAGATACTTTTGTTTGCTTTAATTTTTAAATAAAAAACTTAACAGAACAAATTAAAAAGTTGCTAAAAGTGTGTTGAAATTATTGATATGAAAACACCGTTAAAAATAAAAGTTAAAAACTATTAACACCTGTGTTATAAAAGTGTTATGTAATCATTGATTGGTTACAAGTTGAAATCTAAACCAATTAAACTTAGTGTAAGAAAACAATGTGGTTACTCTGCAGTTAAAACTCGTGAAATCAAACTAAGCCACACCCCTAACAAGTCTTCACTTTAAAAAACACACTGGATCTATTCAAACAGTAGGACGCAGGGTTTCAACAGGCTGGTATTCTTTCCTCTCAAATTCGCCCATTTCTAAAGTTTTTGGACATTTCTGTATATTGTGAACTTTATCAAGATGGAAAGAATGAATATGTATTTGGAAAACTTTATACAAGAAAAGAAATTAGATGATAATGGATATTCGCCATTTCATGATTATTTTGGATTGAGTACTCACGTAAGCGGACATCATTCTCCTGGCAACTCGTCAACTTATTCCAGTTCGCCTCAGTCTTTATCACCTTTCAACGATGTTGCTCCAAATTATTTAGGATTTGGAAATTTTCCTACACCAGGTCCAGTCACAGATCCGCTGGAAGAATTACGATGTGATGCTCAAAATGATTTTCTGAAAAATGGAATCGAATGTGATTTGGATGAATGGGACAAATGTCAGGCAAGATTACGAGGCCATAATTTAACTGATCGAGTACCACTTACAGTCGAGTTTGAGGGGAACGACAAGGTTTTCGAGTATTTGTTGGTCAAGGAAAGAAAGAGGGCAAAGAGCATGAAACCATCTAAATCAGGACAAACTGGTAATTGTGTCTTTTGTAAAAATAACGGCGAACCAGCGAATGTGTATTCCAGCCATTTGTTGAAGGATGAATCCGGGAAAGTATCTTGTCCTATATTATGGAGATATACATGTCCTCTGTGTGGAATTACTGGTGATAAAGCACATACTATTAAATATTGCCCACTAAATAATGGTGAATATACGTCTACTGCCTTGCTGAAAACTGCTCGATTATGTAATGGAAAGAGAAGGCGGGAAAATCCAACCAAAAGCAAAACCAGTGCGTAATTGTGTTGTTTTATTTGACTTTTAATCAAGTGCTATATGACTGAATTTATTTAACATGGTGGTAGGGAACACTTTTAACGATTTTTTAAAAACAATTATGAGGATTTAATCATGATTGTCTTGTTTTTTTTTCTTAAAATTATTGTTGTGTATTTTTTTAATGTGAAATAGAAAGATGAGAATTGTGTACAAAGAATAATTATTGCAGATTTTTCAGAGATTTTAGTTTGGAAGTTTCCCAAACGTCTGATTTAGATAATAATAGTAATATAATAGAATTTTTGTATTCATAGATGAGATTGTAAATTTAGTAGTTTTTTTGTTGTAATTTTTTCATTATTTAGCCCTATAAGATTTTAGTTTTTAATTTGAAACTTTTTACACAAACTAGAATCTGGTTGCATTTCTTACTTGAAAATCATTTTAATTCTGTTTTTGCCATTTTGAATGTAATAGTGCTTATTGGAATATAGAATTGTATGGTAGTTTTTAACTATGTAGAAATTCGTAGATCGAAAGAATTCCACATTTTTCATGAAGTACTGCCCTTTTTCAGCTTTTGATTTGTCAAGGGGCAGTATTTCATCAAATATGCTAATAAATTAAACTAGTTATTTGAATATTCAATATAAGAATCAACTGTAAATAATCATGCTATTTTTTATTATCAGATTTTCTAATTTTTTAATTAAAACTTAGTAAGTATAAAAATGTGTTGTTCTATATAATGGGTGTATTGAAAATATTAAGGTAGTGCTCAGTGACTACAGCATTTTCATCGAAAATATAAAATTGCACAACAACAACCTGTTTGATCATAAGGATTTCAAACTTGCTTATCATTTTGTATCCCTTGGGGCCTGGCATTCTATCCCCCCTACCCTCTCATTCTGTTGAATTTTCTCTTCGTGCACCGGTCAGCAAGTTGCAATTAATTTACCAAGAAAAATAAAGAACGAGATTAATAAAAAAGAAATTGACTGGTTTTTGATAATCATGGTTTTTAATGAGCCCGTCCCCTTACACTGAACATGCGCAGAATAAATCGAATCTGAACTCAGCTTCCAATTTATCCAATAACAGAAACTTGAAATAAACGCAATTGAATTCTGAAGGTTTTCCAAGATATTTTTGGAGGGCAATCGAGACTCTTTTCTGCTTTAACTTCATTACAGTTAGGTTTGTTCGTTAACCAAAAATTCATAATTTAGATGATGGCAATTTCACCTGAAATTGTCCCTGGTTGCATTTATAATGGTTTGAAAGATCCTTTACAATTCCAGAAACATCAAATATTTCCCTAGAAAGATTTTTCAACCGTCAGTGATATAAGTCGGAAGAGCTAACATGACATGAAACAATGGGTTTAACAATAAAATATATTTTAAACAAACATCATCACAACACCTGGAAATATAGATATTTAAAGAAAAAGAGAGCCCGCTATAAGAGCATAATTTCATCATTGAACTCTGCACAGTCACATTCATGAGCGCACATCTGGTAAAAAGGATACAGTTGAAAATATATAAAAATGTTTGAAGAACCAGAAAATGTCCATCAACTGTCGCGTGTCATCGTCGGATGTTTATCAATGTTTCCCCCAAATTTATCATGATTGACGTTTCCATGGTTTCCAGACAAACGTTAGCTGATATTGCCCTATCTATACTGCACAAACATTTAACATTTAAAGTTGCCTTGTTAAAAATAATTTCAAGGAGTGAATTTTCAATGCTACGAATGTTGGTAACGGTTGGTCCGTCTATTGTGAAAGTTGGGCAAAAACAAGTGCACAAAATATTGAGCAGGGAAAACATTTTGATATATATATAGATCTATATACTTGTAAAAGAGCTTCATCGTTTTCTCAACACGACCAAACCTTTTACAAATTTCTAATGTTGCGATGGGGTTCTGTAGCCCGTTTTCCCAATAAAACTGCAGAAGTTGGAACTAATATTGGTATATAGTAGGCCTATTATAAGAGATACTCTCATAGAAGTATTGGCCAAGGTTGTGTTTGCTGGAACTGGCAAAGCTAGTATACGGTTTTATAGTGGTATAAGGTTTTATAAGAGAAACTCTCTTATAGAAGCACTGGTCTAGGTCACAAGTAGGGACTGTGAAAATCAATTTGATAGAAAAATACCTACTTCTGGAGAGATTTACAAGATAAACAAATAATTCAGAAATGCAAAGTATTTTTAGGTAGTCGCATTTTGAATATCTGCGAAGAGGCAAGTGTATAAGGGGAGATAAATACATTATTAAATACAGACAACAATTATCAAGCCACAGATCCATAGAAAGTCGTTCAACTGTCGATTTTCGTTATTGAATGAATATCAAATCAGCTTTCTACGACAATTACAGCTGAAATTTTATTTTGCATATTTGTGATATGAGATTGTAGTGTTTTCTATAGGAGAGTATCTTTAATAAGGAGAGTAGGTTAAGGATATGAGAGAACCAGACGAATCCGTGTACGGAACTTCATGTTCGTGTTTCATTGTTTAAATTTCGAGAGTTTCGAAAAAGCTTTGATAACGATTGGACACACTACCCTTTTTTCGATTTAAACATACGTCCATTCCCGAATCCGGAGAACCTCTGGATCAGCGCCGTATATAGAGATACGGCTCTGCTCTGCATCAGGTCATTTGGATGTAGTCTGTTAAAACAAGAGTTATTCCCCTTCCATTATACAAGTGTATTGGAACGTAAACATTTGAAATTTTGATTGCAGTTGTGGTCACTTATCGAGAAGCCGAAACTCTCAAATTTATTTATCAGTGTACTACATAGCCGTTCAGAAAAGTAGGAGGTAGATCTCCATCTCATTTTATTTACTGCATAGCTCAAATATATTCAAATTCGTTGTGGTCTGACAATTTTACGACTCCATTTAAGAGTTACTACCCTTTTAGTGCCACACATTTTACAGCTGAAATAAAGGAAAAAAATGATATAGAGTGAAGTACCACTTTCCTTCACCTGGTAATAAATAGCAACGTATCATGGGCATTTTTGTCTGTAGCAAGCGATACCTTGTTTTTAAGATTCTCATTATTTGTGTTCTTTGTAAACAAAAATCCAGCGAGGCCTGGATTAATATCTGTGTTGGATTTATTAGGCTGGACAGGGTGGGTAGGCTACTACTTTTCTGCATATTAAGTGAAAGAAAGTAAGCAGTTCTCTCACTTTCTGTGACTTATAGACAGTCGGATTGTTTTTGAAGCCTTTTAGGATTTTTTCTAACAGGCATAGACCGAAATCTAAATTAAGGAAAAACACGTGTCTTGACATGGTCGTGGCTACTACCTTTTACAGAATTGCATTTTTCAAATTATTTTGTGAGACCCAAAATAGAACCGATCACAAAAACCCATTTTGAGCTGGGCGAATAATCAATTCGAGTCAATTTCAGAAGAAATGTATTGAAGGGAAAGGTTTATTTCGAATTTAAAATCCCCAAACCTAATATTTCTATAGACTCGAAGACATTCTAGATATAAAAGCGATTGATTGAAATTTACTTTTGAATATTTATGAATTGAGAAAGAAAAAAAATCAATTTTACAGGCTCACTGTGACCACAGGGTGCAATAATTCTACATTATGCTGATATTGATATTCAAACAAGACTTAAGAAGGAAAATATCGTTCCGTTATTATTGTAAAGAATCCAATAAACATTAACTGTGAAACTAACATGCTTTATACCCCCTTCTAAACTAGATTCATGCCAAGTAAAGTTCTTTTATTTTATCAGATTGTCCTATCATAATCTATATCCCTTCTCTAGTCTAGATTCCAACCAACTATCAGACTACAGTCATATGTCTATACCCCTTCCCCAGGCCAGATTTCTACCCCTTTCCAGTCTAGATTCCTACCAAGTAAAGGTCTTTTTAGCAAACTAAAACATATACCCCTTCCTAAAGTAAATTTGTTAATGATAAACTATGGTGTATCAGATGTAATGTGTTATTTCACATGAAGAAGTTGTTAATGATAACAGCGATTAGTTAACAGATTACACTACAATACACCTATTATTCTGAACACATGTTTATATCAATAATACATGGTTAATACAGTCACTCATATAGTTACAGCACAACAGGGTTCTACTGTCTCAGTAGGTGTTCCAGTATATATCCCTACATCATCACAGCATGTCGTTTTTCCATACACTAAACCCACTTTTAAAGACTAACAGGACGCGAGTTCCTTATCAAATGTATGTACTCAATCAAATTCGCACTCTTATCGGTTTATCCACAGGGAACTGATATTTAAAGGGCCGAAAAGATCAAGCATTTTGAATACGTTCGCTTGATTTTAAGGCACGGCTTATTGAGACGCCATTTATAAAAACCCTTTAACGAATTCTGAATTCAGTAGGACATACAAACTACATTGCTAGAAATATAACGTAATGGAATATAAAACATAGACTCGAAATGTAATGGTACTTTAATAGACAGGTAACAACATAATGGGGTATAAAATATAGACACATAACATAATGGGATATAAAATATAGACACATAACATAATGGGGTATAAAATACAGACACATAACATAATGGGGTATAAAATATAGACACATAACATAATGGGGTATTAAATATAGACACATAACCTAATGGGATATCAAATACAGACACGTAATGTAATGAAACTTGAATAGACAGGCAACAACATAATGGGGTAAAAATATAGACACATAACGTATTAGGATATAAATATAAAAACATAACGTTATGGGATATAAAATATAGACACATAACAAATTGGAATATCAAATATAGACACATAACCTAATGGGATATAGAATATAGACATGTAATGAAACTTTAATAGACACGTTACAACATAATGGGGTATAAAATATAGACACGTACCAACATAATGGGGTATAAAATATAGACACATAACATAATGGGATATGAAATATAGGCACGTAATGGGATATAAAATATAGGCACGTAATGTAATGGGATATAAAAAATATACATATAACGTAATGGGATATAAAATATAGGCATGTAACGTAATGGGATATAAAATATATACATATAACGTAATTGGATATAAAATATAGGTACGTAACGTAATTGAACATACAACGACACGTAACAACAGAATGGGGTATAAAATAGAGACACCTAACAAAATGTTATATAAATTTAGACATGCAACATAATGGGATATAAATACAAAAACATAACATTATAGGATATAAAATAGAGACACGTAATACAATGGGATATAAAACAAAGTCACATATCGTAATGGGATATAAAATAGAGACACGTAACAACATAATGGGATATAAAATAGAGACACGCAACATGATGGAATATAAATATAGCCACGTCACAAAATGGGATATATAATATAGGTACATAACATAATTAGATATGAACTAGAGACACGTAACAACATTATGGGATATATAATACAGCAAAGCAACATGATGAGATATAAACCATAGATACATCACATAATGAATATAAAATAGCATAACACGTAGCATAACGGGATATAAAATAAAGACACGTAACAAAATGGAAGGCATATTAGTATAGCCACTAATAATGAGATTTAAAATACAAATAGGTAACATAGTGGGATACAAAATATAGCCGCGAAACATAATGGGATATAAAATACAGA